ATTTGTCCAAATGAACTCTGATATGGTCTTTTTTTTTTTTCCATCCTGTCCTGTACTTGTACAAGTAATGTCTGGACCAAAATGTAATTTATACTCAAATCTTTTTACATCTACCTCATCACTTTAGCCCGGCATGAGTATACAATGTTCTGAATTTTGTCACATATTCGTGACATGTCCATTATCACATATTCTCAGTTTGGAAGTGTTTCGTCTCCGGTGTTATTTTAGTCTTTAATAATGCTCAATATGATGAACCCAAAATCCCACCAGGAAACAATCCAGGATCGGGATTGCCTGTTTGCTAACTCATCTCCTTCTCTGTATATTGACCCCATATTTCTAAACGTCATCTACAGGGATCACGCAAATTATTCTTGAGTAACTGAATAAAATCCAGATATAATGATTTAATAAGAGTTGATCAAGGTCTTTAGGTCTTTATTCACTTTCTAAACCAATTTTCACGAGATGTGTTTTGTGCTAGGCAGTAATGACGTTCTCTGACGGTTAAGTCAAAAGAGACACTGCTCTCAAGGAATTTACAAGGTAGGGGAAAAACACTTTACAGCTGATGGTTACCACAACATGCTTCAAACATGAGATGCAGTTAGAGGGCTGTGAAGGGACAGAATGTGGTTATCTAATCAGATCAGCACAGTTGAGAAAGAGGTGCTGGGACCAAAGCTTAGTCATAGAGCATTTGCCTAGCGCATCCGAGGCCCTGGGTTCCAACCACAGCACCTCCAGAAAGATTAGGAAAAGTGTCCCAAAGGACAGACTAGTACGTAGGCTTGAACTGGATTTGAGTCTTATCATGAGACGGGCTAAAGCGTGCGTGGGCGTGTGAGCATGGTGGTCCTCAGAGAGCTCCCCGCTGGACATCGGGCTTAGGGTTCACGGTTAGTGAACGCTAGCGATGGGCACGAAATCGGGCAAGACCACGGAGATAGGAGTCAAGACCGTGAGGGCTGACATCATAGGTAAGGGAAGACATCAGAGACCTGGGCCTGGAAGGAACAGGCGCCGCAGGCGGTGCAGTGGCCAGCTCTTCCGGACCCTGCGTGAGGACCCAGGAAATCTGAGCTGCACACGGCAGGCTCAGGGTCCGGCGCAGGGCCGAGTCTTAGAATGACGCGATGAGATTTAAGATTTGCAAAGTACCCTGTTGGCTCAGTGAGGAAAAAGAATCGATGGAGGAAGCTCATAAGCAAAGACACTGCCAAAGAGGATGAGGAACACAATTAAATCAAGACTCTTAAGGGAGTAAAAATCAAAGAGACATTCCGTAGGCAATGAGAGCTCAACTGACAGGTGCTGGTGATTACAGAACTTGAGAGCCCAGCGAGAAAGACAAGCTGTAGACCAGTGAGGGCGAACTCTTTAGAGAAGAGTGCCCGAACTGCAACTGCAAACCTACTTATTTATGGCAAAGGGCCAGCACTGCAATTAAACTTGAATACTTAGGTTTTAGTTTAGAAAAAACAACTGTTTTCCGATGCTCAGCTGCTGGAGAGACCCCGCTCAGGGGCAAGGAGGGGGTCTGTGTGCCGCAGTGACATTCGTGCAAAGGTCCACCACCACTGGCTAGGCTGGTCCACGGGGTTTTGGTTTGGATGACAAAGGAGTTGGTGGGGGGGTCATCTGCTGAGAAAGAGCACAGTGTATACTACGAGTAGTGGGGAAGGCTTTTGGACTCAGGTGTTACCGTGTTTCAATGAGATTGAGATCACAGTAGGACACTCAGGACCCCTGGCTGTGGCACTTCTCAGAGATCTGAGCTGGACATAGAGACTCAGGGTTGGACAGTGACTGATGACAATTCCAGCCATGGATTTGGGCACAATCACCAGGTCAGAATACAAGTCAAAGGGAAGATCAATATATTCAGGCTAAAGACAAACACAAGCTGCACATTTTGTAAAAAGTAAGTGTGTCTAAGGACTTACCTCAAATACCTGTACTGATGTTAAATGTATTTATTTGTTAATCCATACTAATTTTCTACAAATCTTGAGAGCAAACTCATCAGGTACTTTGAAGAGTACTCATCACTCACACATTTTTTTTTTTTTTTGTTTTTGTCCGGTACTGGGAACTGAACTCACGACCTTGCGCTTGCCAGGCAGGCGCTTTGCCACTGAGCTAAATCCCCAGCCCCACTCACACATTTTTTAAAAAAGGAAAAATCACATCGCTTTATGATTTTGTAGAATTTCAAAAAAATGCAAGCTTAAAATAGTGAAATGAAGAGGCCAGGAAAATTTCTGATCTGATTTGAACACAACATCAAAATTACACCCTAGAAGAGTAGAAGGCAGACTTTCAGAGATCGGGGAGAGGCGAGAGGAAAGGGAGGGAAGTGACGGGGGTGGAAGTGATCGATGTACATTATACACATGGAACAGCACACCAAAGCCAAACCTACTGTTCTGTATTACTCATATGCACAAATACTGTAACATTTTTAAAATGATATCACAGAGTACCAAGGAACCCAAGCCCTTTAATTCTTATGCATTTAAAAACATGTTGCCTCTATTTATAGTGTGTGGGGAAAACTGCTGGTGGAAGCATAAATGGGAAGACTTCAGTCTTGTTTCCCGTGAATTAACTACTAGGTTTGCATGGTCCCACTGCTTCACCAAGGATACTCAAAAGAAGACGAGTAAGTATCTCAAAATATCTCGAGGCAAGAACTTAATGATATTAGGAAGGATTATTGTAGTCTAAAACTAACTTCTGGGCTTTGTAATCAAAAATACTCCTCTTAATCAAGATGTTTTATACCTAATCAACTGACAGAAGTTGAACAGAGTAGAACATTTTATAGTCATAAACAGTTTACATATTCATTCACAGCCACTGCTGAAGCTGAGATTCTCAGTGTGAGTGTCTGAAGAACCAATCACAGCCAACAATAACCCTGACAGTCTGAAGTTCATAAGTCCGAGACAAGCAAGTCAGGCTTCTCAGTCCAATGCTCAAGAAATACACAACTCTTATTCTCCAACATTCATCCGCTTTTTAATGCATAATCCAAATTTTTGGCAACACTACTATTCCAAATACTGATAAACCTTTATCTAGTCTCATAACTATAGAAAATAAAATAAATTTACAACTATGGTAAAAATTTCAAAGGCAAAATTTCAGTTAATTGTAAAACATGTCCAAAACACTGACATGGGCTCAACAGATACATACAGTTCCTTGTACTTGAAGCCTGAAGATTCCCCTATGTACCTAAGAGAAAGTTTATTGCTTTACCCTTTATCTACTGAATTTGACTGTAAAAAAGAAAAACCTGTCTGAATAACTATCAACACCACAAACATCTGGAGTCTGGTTTTTTTTTTTTTTGGTTTTTTTCCGGTACCAGGAATCGAACTCACAACCTTGCGCTTGCCAGGCAGGCGCTGTGCTGCTGAACTAAATCCCCAGCCCCTGGAGTCTGGTTTCATATGTGAGATAATAGTGCAGTTGTGAAAAGAGAAAATATGTGCTGCACACTCTTGTAAAACACATGGTCATTACAAGACGTGCTGTCCAGATCTCCCTGACAACTGACTGGTGACTTTTGGTGAGGCCTTGGCAGGGACGGGGTCAGGGAGAGAGCAAAAGCACACTTCCCTCCTACAGGGAAACCTCACTACTCCAAGACACTGATCCACACACGGGACCAGCGTGTCTAAGGACACACAGCAGCCTGAAGCAATACGCCTGCACTCCCAAGCAAAAGGCCCCTCCTGGTGTAAAGGAGTCCTTTCCCATGGGAAGAGGTGATTTAGGCATGCAGTGCTCAGCACCCTTAAATGATACTCTCCCGAGAACAATAAAGGGGGTGATCTTTGCTGCCGGGGTTTCTAGGAACCTGCCCGTTATCACCCGCTGATACCCAGCTGGGAAGATGACCAAGGAGGGACAAGCACATCATTCAGGGCCGCTGTGTCAGACAGCCCAGAATGCGGCCTGACACCAGCCTGCCGAATAAGTAGTTGAATAATTAGGACTATTAAAGATAAAAATCGGGAGCTCTTCTTTAACATGACATTTATTTTATGCTAGATTTTCTACCTCGTGACACTACGTCCAAACCTTTCGCCTTACACGTTCATACAAAACACATCAATTCCAAAATATAGCTTAATGTTTCTTACAGACATTTAGTAATGGTATTATATGATGACGCTGAAATACGGTGTGGTCTATGATCAATAGGACATATAAGCAGTCTTAGTTGAAAAATGACCTAAAGTAGCAAATTAGTTTTTATTATAGATCGCTGGATATGTTACACTATTACATAAAACACATTTTCTGAGAGTTCTGTGTATGTTGTTCGATTGCTCTATTACTTATTTCTGCTTTTATTCAGCAGCAACATTAGCCCTTCCTGGAAAACAAATCCAAGCTGTAAAACTTTATCTTGGGGGGTATATTTAAAATAAAATTTTTACATGGAACTTTCAGTGATACGTTTTTGAGAAATACTCTAATCTCCTAATATAAATCTTTTATAAACAAATACTGAAATAGAGATCTGATCTACTGTGTGAATTTTCTTGTGTGTCATACATCAATATAAACTAAACAGACCTTGAGATCATAGTGCAGCTATCAAATTTTTAAAGAATATTCATTTGGGATTATTATTTAAGATCAACTTTCAGAACTAATATTTGCCCCAAGCATGCAATTTCAAGTAGCACATTTAGCACGACAAAACAGTACTAACTTTTCTCTCATTCTGGAAATGATGAGCAAAATCACATAAAACCACAGCACAGGTAAAATTTTATAAAGCTATACCTTCAACACAGGGAATTGTCCCTTTCTAAAATCTCTTCACCCTGTCGTTTCCTACCCATTTAAAAAAATGGGTACATAATCTGATACCAAATGTTCTGCGGATTTGTGTTTTCATCAACCAACTTGCTTTTATAATACAACCGCGGCAACGTTTCTCTATATAAGAATATAAGACGCGAGGCACGTACGATGGGCATAGATACTGCTTCTTTTTCCCTTTCCCTTTCTTGGAAGATTTTTCCTTAGAATAGGCTTCTTCAACCCACAGAGAAATGAAAATAAAAAAGGTGATTGCCAATAAAAACTTCATCTTGAAAAATTAAATTTCAGGAGCTCGATCTACAAGAGAGAAGAAGAAAATATTTATATTTATGAAGCAAAAGATAAATATATGCCTATCCTCTTCAGGAGTGGACTGATTATTATCCAAAGGACAAATACATTTGTATTTCATATCTTCATTGCTAAACCCTATACGGCTACACATCACTATATATTAAATTCTCTTTTATATAGCAGTAGTAAAGCCTCTTTTTTATATAGTAGTAAAAGTCAGTTTAAATAACGCTACAAGGAAAACAAGACTGCAGTGAAGTATAAGAGGTTACCGTTATAAAATTTCTGACTCTGGGGTTACATAAAATTGTAAATGGATACTGACTTGGACATTATATCAAAACATGCTGAGAAAGATAACGGAGCGATGATGAACAGTTAAAATGCTTATCTCCAATGAAATGCTAAAGTTATTCTTTTCTTTGAAAGTGTCCATACTATTTTAATTTCATATGTATATTTTTTCCCAAAACAACAAAACAGGATTAAACAACTGGCAGACATAAAGAAGATAATTCGCATCCAGGAGCTTCACCCGCTAAACGCCCTGAGTGGTTTAGACACACCAAACCCGCAGGCTGCCTCTGACCCCCGCAGGTCCGCATCACCCGGGTTAGCACGGAGCCGGCCCCGGCTTCTGGACTTCGCCTACCCACGCGATGTGGCATCGCTCTGGGCTGGGGAGTGAGCGTCCGATTCGAATGAGCTTCTTAGCCACGTTTTAGTAACATCATTCACGCTCACATAACACTTCTACCCTTGCCACTGTCTGCTGCACCAAAGAAAGCAAAACCCCAGCTGTCAGCGTCCGCAGTGGCGCCGGCGCCCGGGCACCCTCGGCCTGCGCGCCTGCCGCCGCCCTCCCGCC